AACAGAGGGTATTGTTTTTAAAGCTTTTTGTAAATAAAGGCTTCAGAAATGTTTTCTTATAAAAAAAAAAAAAAGAAGTCTGGGTGAGGAAGGATGCTTCAGATGGAGTAACCGGGAGGGACTGCATTCGTGCAAGAGCCAAAGGAGGAAATGAGACCACCTAGGTGAGGCACTCGGCACAGTACGTAGGATACAGTAAGTGTTCGAGAAACACAAAGTGTTACTGCATATAGTCATTTCAAATCTTACAACGTGCCAGCTAGCTCCAGACCCACAGACATAGTAAGTAAACAAGAGACAAAGCCCTGCTTAAGGGGCTGACATTCCAGTGGGGGAGACAGGCAAGAAACAAAATAAATAACCCAGAATGTATAGTATAGTCGATAGTGGTAAATGCGAAGGAGGAAAAAGAAACTAGAGAAAGAAGATATAAAATGCTGAAGTAGGAGATAAAATTTTATTTATTTTTTAAAGAGATTTTATTGGGGAATTGGGGAAGGGAAACATTCTGTTTTTCCAGGACCCATCAGCTCCAAGTCCAGTTGCCACTTTCAATCTAGTTGTGGGGGGCACATCCCACCATCCCATGTGGGATTCAAACAGGTAACCTTGTGGTTAAGAGCATGAGCTCTAGCCAACTGAGCCATCCGGCCAACTGTCAGCAGCTCAAGGCCATTCAGCTCAAGGTGACGTGTTCAATCTTAGTTGCGGGGGGGCACGGCCCACCATCCCATGCGGGAGTCGAACTGGAAACCTTGTTGTTAAGAGCATGCGCTCTCACCAGCTGAGACATTCGGCCGCCCGTTGGCAGCTCAGCGGCAACTCAGCTCAGGCACACTGGCCTGTGTGGGAATCGAACCAGCGACCCTGTTGCTCAGAGCTCGCGCTCTAGCCAACTGAGCCACTAGGCCAGCCCAAAGAGATAAAATTTTAGATCAGGTGGCCCGGCAGGCCTCACCGAGAAGGTGACTTTTAAGTCAAGACCCAATGAAGTGAGAAAAGTACCTACAATTAGAAGTAGGGAATACTATTAATTACTAAAACTACTGTCATTAGTATTCTTAATACACCATTATTACAGTAATAGGTCATTATATTACCACTACTATCTGTGCCACTTTATCATCACTGCCATCTCTGGAACTCCTGGGAACAAACATGTAATCTGACATTCCCTCGTCACTGTGGACTGCTAAACTCGTACAAGCTGGTAAAGCACAGGCCAAGTTGCAGACATGAATGGGTCTCGCACAGAGTCTCTGAAATAAAAAGCTGCTTCGCGTGCATGCTGAGGGGACGAGGAGGCCGGACTCATCTCCAGCACCAGACTCATCTTCCATCCCGCCTGCACATGTGGCTGTGCACGCAATAGGGTCATCATCAGACCCAAAGGGCAGCGACACAAAGACATTCCGAAGCCACAAACGGTAACTGCAGCTTGAATCAGCGCAGAGGCACACAGTGTGTGACTCAGAGGTCATGACAGGATTATGTGTGTTTCTACCAGAGGCTTACTTGGTTAAAAGAGAGGACTCAGCCAGCACCTATGGGAACGATGGAGAAGAACTGGAATGTCTTGCTGTTCACCCAGCCCAGCACGACACTGAAAACAGCTGGGTGTGTGATCAGCTCTTACTGGATGACACTGAACAAGGGGAGCAGGTCTTGTGATGGATGCATACAATCTTTCAACAGACTGACTTGGACTAATAACTATCCTTTGCAATTCCGAGGAAATAATCAAAAAAAGAAAAAAAGAAAATGAATCCAAATGTCATACTATTCATCCTATCTTACATCTGTTTAAATTGCTGCAAATTTTTTTGAAGTTACAATATCAAGTGTTCATTCCTTTATGATCAGAGGCTTTGGTGGCAGATGGCAGGGGTCAGGAAATGTGACCTGTGGGCTTTAACAACAAACCGTATTATTCCTCAACTGAGATAATAGAAAAGTTTTTTGTTTTTTTTTAACTTTATTGGGGAACAGTGTGTTTTCTCAGGACCCATCAGCTCCAAGTCAAGACACCGTCTTCAATCTAGTTGTGGAGTGCACAACTCACTGGCCCATGTGGGAATCAAGCCAGCAACCTTGGTATTAAGAGCCTGTGCTCTAACCACCTGAGCTAAATGGCCACCCCAAAAAGTTTTGAAAATATCTCAGATACATTTTTTATGTGTATTTAATACGTGAAGGGAGCCAATATAGAACTTGTCTAATAAAAAAAATAATCATTTAGGATCAAAACAGAGCTTAACCAGCAGTGCTTAGAATATAGAATTTATAATTAATTCTTTATAAATGTCTGTGTAAATAAAACAGATTATAAGTACTTATTTTCTGGCTACAAAACCAAAAGTTAAACCATTGAAATGGCCAAGGAACACCTATGAAAGAAAAAGTAAACAGGCCATTATGATTTATGGCTCAAGCTAACAATTTCTTATAGTAACATGATTGTTGCCTCACCACATATTTACTATAAAACGTCTATCTCACATATATGTACAAACATATACATACAAGTATGTGTACTATATTACATTCATGCATGCCACATGTTTCTTTAGAAGCCCAGCCACTGACGCACAAATGTCCTGTTAAGTCCACTTGCAGGGTGCAGAGTGTGATCCAAGTTAAGGAGATTCTGAGTGTGCTCAAGAGCTCAGGGTGCCCATCCTCCCACCCAGAAGCCAGGGTCCATGTCCTCTGGGAGCCCTCAGCTGGAGTGGAGCGTGCGAGGTGAGGGGTGGGGGCAGAGGACACAGGCTAGCCACCATCTCACCGGACCCGGTGATGACTCAAGCAGCAGGACATAAGTCACCAGGCATTTCACGGCCTTTGTTCAGAAACACCCTCATTCTTCACTCCACGGCCGAAGCACTGAAGGATGTCCGTGTTCTGTGTGAGCTGCTGAGCCAGGGTGCCTGTCACGTCTGGAGAGTCCCTCAGTCCAGACCACAGAAGAAACTCGACGCAAGCCACATGCTGACCCGCGCAGGCCAGGTGCAGGGCTGAGCAGAGACACAAGTGACATGAACTTAGTGCACGGCCCCCAAAGCAACACTGACATGGTGCACAGGCTGCTCCTAACAAAAATACTGATTCTCCAATTATATGGATTTTATATTGCCTTAATCCATCTACATGACTGTCTATACTAGATCAAAACGGTTTTCCTTTTAACCTGATGGGGCTGGAAATGGTTTAAAAATAACAAGACCAACTGGAAAGGATTAAAAAGACTTGTCTAAATCAACAAAGCAAGTCAATGGGAAAAAAGAGACTTTAAATGGTACTGAAAACATTTTCAAAGTTTTGTGAATTCTCTGTGTAAGTAAAAATCTCACCATGAATAAGAATGATGTGACAAAAACAAAAATGGCCGACAAATCCCACTCTGGTTAGAAGTTAGCGCTGATGGGACTCTGGCTTCTGCTCCCGTCTTTAGGAGAGTCTGTGTCCCTGGACTCAGCAACTGTGACCCGCAGCCCTGGGGTAAGCACTTAGTTATGTGTGAGTCCCTGAAGCAACACGAAGTGCCCACCAAACCCCTGAGGTGGCCACTGACGTGCAGAGTGTCACTGAGGTTTGCTCTGGAGTCCCAAGTTTAAACAATTAGCTCTGAAACTGTCCTCTGAGTCTTACATTTAGAAAATAGTAGCGATTACAGTTTCCAAATACATTTCAAAGCGAGATGCCCTAAGAAGAATCTATGCAATACCTGGACAGCTGGCGGCATCATGGGTGAAGATACAAAGTGCTTTTATGTCACATATATTGTTGTGGTTTAAAATAATAAAAACATTAATAATAGCAGTAATAGTCAGTAGTAATTATCATCATTGCCATGGTAACAGCAATAATTCTACAGCTTTGCAAACAGAGATGTTATTTTAAGAAAAAGTTGCTGAGCTCGTAGAGGAATAATATTAACACTAATGTTTTTACAAGTCCACGTATTGTTTACGTTCTTTTACTAATAATTTCCAGGCATATGTACAAAGAGGTCGTACCTGATCGGTTTCTTTCATCTTTAGAGTTGAGGTCAGCACCCAAGGTTACGAGTGTCTGAACTGTGCTCACATGTCCTTCCTGAGGGTTGAAATAAACTTGTTATCACTGTGACAAGGACCTTTAAACACAAACTCTACTGCATGTTAGGTCCTTTTTCTAAAATACGCAACTGCTAAATCTGATTTTCATATCTAAAGGAAAACTTGTCACATCATTCTCAAATTCCAGTATAAACCATTAAAGGTAGGTTTTGGTGATCAGTTATTAACAGATGATCAATTTTGTAGGCCAAATTATTGACTAATACAGTTGGGTTTCCTTCAGTGTAAAGGATATAAATATTGTGATTTATACAGACCACACAATTCCAAATGCTCCTAAGCAAACATATTCTTTGCTAAAATCTTTAGGGCAGAGATAAACTAGCAGAGACGGGACACTCTCCTGGATGCAGACTCATCACAGTTAGCCTTATCATTCATGAGGCAATTTATACGCTTTCTGTCTAGCCAGCCAGTCCATTAGTACGGGCTGAGACCAAAATCAAGGCTGCAAGTTCAGTCCTCCTATGGGTCGACCCACCACCAGCTTTATTTCCCCGTGGCCACAGACCATTCTCTTAGCCCACCCTCATCTATCTATCTATCCATTGTATCATAGGGGAACACAAGTAGGAGTGTGTAGTTCACCAGAAAACATTCCTGTTGCTAGAAAAACAAGTAAAGGCAGTAGCCAATCATGTTAAAAATAATACACAAAAGACTCCTAGCATTCAAAATGAAAGGATGTAAGCAGCTACATTTTTAGTGGAACCTTTTTGCATGCCTTAAGTATTTTATACATTGGAGAGTCCAGTAAATGCAATTCCCTTGCCTCAGTTAAAGAAATTTTAACTTCTGAAATCTACTGTTAAGGATAGCTAGGAATTGAATACAATGAATTTTTAAGGCTTTAACACCAGTCTTGAACACACACACACACACAAAAAGGGTGGGAGGAAACATAAGGCCTAGGCATTACATGGAATAAAGGGTATTTTCAGTTTTCACCTAGCAACAGATAAAGACAGGTGTCTATTTAAAAGAACACAGGGCTTCAGAACCATGAACATTTCAGGAGTGTGTCATGGCAACTTCTTTCTTCCAGAGATAGAGCCAAGAAAATAGGACTACGGAGCTCTTCATCAGCAGAGTAAGGCAAGCCTAAGGAAGCAGGGACACCCTTCCGAGGACAAACCTTAGCTGCATAATGAAGTGCTGTGAGATGGGTTGATGTTGTTCTCACATCTACATCAACGCCAAGTTCAGAGACCAAGAATCGGATGGCTTCATTCTGCCCAGTGACTGCTGCCCTGTGTATAGCCTGGGCCCCCAGGGAATCCTCAGCAGAAATGCAAGCCTAGCAGATTGGGGAGAAATAGGAACAAACAAGAAGCAGAGAAACCTGAGTCTGTGGAACTTCTGACATTTTGGCTAAACTTTGTTGTCTATGTACATTTTTTCTGGACAGATACTATATAACTTCTGCCAGATTCTTAAATGACTTTCTAAACAAACCAACAAAATGGTTAAGATTCAATGATCTACACTAATGTGACAAAAGTGCACTCAGTGGGGATGGTTTGCTGTTATTACTATATAACAGCTACTGGTTATTGAATACTTACTTTGCTAACTGCCTTATGTATATTATATTACTTAATCCTTAGAGTAAACCTCTGAAAAATGTAAATTTATTGCCATTTCACAGATAGGCATGCTGATGTTTAAAGAGGTTGAGAGGTCCCACAGGCGGACTGTGGCAGCGCTGGGATTTGAACCCAGGATCCAAAACACTGTAATTTCTGTTTATCCTACAACCAAAAACTTGTAGGAAGAACCAAAGGAATAAACCCACACCATTGCTGTACCTTATGTTTTTCAAGGAGCAGCCTGGCTATGTTGATGTGTCCACACTGAATTGCATCCATAAAGGGTGTGAGGCCACACTTATCTCTGCAGTCTGGTTCATACGGACACCTAGAACCCAAACCCAAAATAACAGAGCTGAGAAAAGCCACCGCTTCAAATCCAATGGATGTTTGACTCCTGACCACCAGCAGCAGATGACACGCCTTACAAATGGTCTGTGAAATCTGGAGTGCTCTTCTCTTTTCTCCCATCTCAGTATCAGAATTTAGCTCTTTCCCCCAGGAAATCTGCTCCTCCTCTAACCTTCATCAGACCATTTTATAGACCATCATCTCTCCATCGTCTCATGCCAGAAGCTCATAGCCTTCAAAACCGATCTATTACCCAAACCTGTCAATTCTGCATTCAAAGTATTTTTTAAAACTGTATCTTCCTTTCCATCTCTGCTTTCACCCATTAAGACCAAGTCAATAGACAACAGCCTTTTAATTTTTTTGTTTTTCCTCACCTGGGAACCTGCCTTGCTAATACAGTCTCATATCTACCAGAATAATCTTTTCACCATGTTATTTGGGTATGGCTGCTCCCGTTTAAAACCTTTAAGTAGTACTTCGCCAAAACAAAGTACAAAATCTAAAACCTCAACATGACCTGCAGTGGTCAGGATAATATGGCACCAACTTACCTCTCCAAGTTTCTCCTGCCGACACGCCCCGTGCTTACCACAACTTACCTTCTTCCTGGTCCTACCTTCTTTGTCCTTATTTCCTGGTATCGCCTTCTTTCCGGTCCTACTTCCACCCTGCCCCATCTTCTTCCATTCCTACCTTCCTCAAGGTCCTACCTGTCCTACTGGGTTATCTGTTCTACCTCCCACCTGTCCTGTCTTCATCTGTTCCTTTCTCACAGTCCTACCTTTCCCACCTTATCAGTTCTAACTTCTACCTGTCCTACCTACTTCTTGGTTCTACCTGTCCCCCCCCCACCGCCCCCGACCCCTATACCTGTCCTGTCTTCATTTGTTCCTACCCTCCTCACGGACCTACCTTCTTTATCCCACCTCTGCCTTGCCCTGCCTTCCGTTCCCACCATCCTCACGGTCCTACCTATCCCACCTTCTTTCCCTCACATGTTCTTCCTGTCCGAGGTTCATCCTTTCTTTAGTACATTACGGTCCTATCTGTCCTCCCATCTTCTCGGTCCCACCTGCAACCTGTCCTACCTTCCTTCCTTTCCTACCTTCCTTCCTGTCCTGTCTGACTTCCTTCAAGGTCTTACCTGTCCTCTCATCTTCCTGGTCCCACCACCTCCCTGCCTTATCTTCACGGTCCTGCCTTTCCCATCTTCTTCTCGGTCCAAGCACTTTCCTGTCCTACCTTCCTCGTGGTTCTACTCGTCTTGCTTTCTTCTTGGTCCTACCTCCCACCTGTCCTACGTTCCTCAAGGTCCTACCTTCTTCCTGTCTTTCCTTTTCCATACTACATTTTCCATTCCTACCTTCTCTGTTCTTTCATTTGCCCAGCTCTCTTCTTGGAACATTTTCTCCACTCTTCACCTGCCAAACTACAACTCATCTTTCAAATCACAGCTTCAAAGTGACCTCATTGAGGCTTGTCTTCTCTTCTGCACTAACAGTATCTTTGCTTACACACACCACTGTGTACTTTTTTTTATAGTATTATAGGTTTTCCTGCTATCTGAAAGTAGAGCATTCCTATGAAAACTTTTGTAAGCCAAATTGGCATAAAGTGAAGAGTATCTCCAGTTTTCTGAAAGTTCACGTTACTTATGCCACTTAACTTTTATGAATTAACTACATTAGTACAGTAACAACTTTTTTTGTAAAAGTGAAAATCCTCTTTGGATTTCTTTTGGTAAAAACAGGTGCTAATGTATATCTTGCATATAAATTAAGTGCGATAATACAAACTTTCAGCAAGTGGGGATACCTGTATTACAATTTATAATTTTATGGTATTTATTTCTGTGATTGTCTATACTAGGCTTCCACACTAGCCTACAGGCTGGTGGGGAAAGACTGTTTTGCTTATCATCCAACACTTAATACCATAGAAGGTGCTTTTTTTATTATATTTTATTTTTTAAAGATTTTATTGGGGAATTGGGGGAGGGGAACAGCACTGGGACAGTTGGTAAGGGGAACAGACAAGTTGCTGTCCTTTTGTTTTTCATT